GGTCAACTCCTAGGCATTCCTCTTTGGTATAGTATATTATTTTTTAAGAGGTTTTGGCCAGCCCAGGGCTCAACATGAAATAGCATGAAAAGCCTCCCTCTGGTCTGCTTTTGTGTGCTCAGTTCTCCCAGCTGCTTTGCCTTTGGGAGGCAGTGACCGGCATCCCTTTGCTTAGAGCCTAGCTCTCCTGATCTGGCCAGTGCCAACTTCTCTGGTCCTATCCCGCTCAACTACCCAACCACCCACACTTCAAGTGCTTTTGGACCCCCTTCTCTGCAGTCTTTGTCTACTCATGCCCATTTCACCTGTGTGGTCCCCCCAACCCCACGTATCTTTGTCAATACTGTCCTTCTAGCCTGAATGTCCTCTAGCCCTTCATTTTTGCCCATCAGAATCTCCAAGGCCTATTATGTAATCTCCAAAAATGTAAACTCAGAAACCAAGTTTTTACTCTTACTACACCTATCAGTGCCTTACAAGTGGTAAACAAATTTGTTTGCCTTACACCAATCAAATGTTGAACGGATAATTCAGTCCATCTTTCCCTCCATTCCTGAATATAACCAAAGTAACTATACCCCCCAGGTAAAGGGCCCTTCCATTTGTATAATGTTTTAGACTTCCCAAAGGTTATGGCATAGCAGTCTAGAATACCTGATCTGGAACCAGACTGCTGGGGTTCCAACCATTGCTCTACCAGCTACCAGGTGTGTGACCTCAGGCAAGTTATTTAACCTCTCCATGCCTTACTTTTCTCATCTCTATAAAGAGGAAAATAAAGGTACCTACCTCAAGAGTTTTTAGAGGGACTAATGTGGAGAAAATGGAAATTTCTGACCAGGATTCCTGTCTGGCCTTAATAGCACCCACTGTATATATGTAAGAGCCTATTTACACATCTATGGGATGTACTGGGGACAGAGGGCTGGTCAGTCACAGGAGTACCCGCACAGGGGAGGAGTGGAGAAGAAACACCCATTCTTTCCTCTCAGTTCCTGCATATAATTGGTCAGACGTCTGCAAGTTACCAGAGCCCTGTGCACAGAGTTCCTCCCAGTGCTGGGAGAACGGGGAGAGAGTGGCGCCTGTGCGGGAGCCGTAAGAGCTTGGAAAGAGTAGAAGGGAAGCCTGGAGGGAGAACTAGGTGACAGTGGCAGCTGGAGGAGGGGAGCTGTGGAGCCTCACCCTTGGAGAGGATTATGCCAGAGCTGGGGAGCCGTAGGGAGCAGCACCAGACCAGCTGCTTGTACTTAGCCGGGTGACCACCATGAGAATAAACATGGTATGAACCCCTTTTGATGCCCCAACTTCTTTGGTCTCATGGAATCATAGGGAACCCCCTCCTCTCAGAGCAACAGCTAAATAAGCTATTATTTGTAAAATGCTTAGAACAGTGTTCTGGCATATAATAAGCATTATATAATGCTTGTGTAGCTAAATATATACATATTACATATATGTAAACATACTTATTAGTGGTATAGATTTTATACACCTATACACACATATATAGAAAGTACTAGGTAAAGTTTAAGTTACACAGCAACCTTGTAAGGTAAGTAGAAGTGTTAACTTCCCCACATTTAATAACTAGTAAATTCACTCATAGAACCCTATCTTCTAACTTCTGAGTCAGAAATCAGAAAGTACAATTTATAGCCTTAAATCCACTGATGTTCTCCACAACATGGATAGTTTTCAAATACATAATGGTTTCTTGATCCTGAACATCAAAAATTTACTATAAATATTTTAATTATTTTGATTTTAAGTGAAAGAGTAGTATCACATACATTATAAGGTGGGTTAGTAAGAAAAAATTATTAATTTCTGGGCAAAAGTTTTGTCTAGGATTTCACAATCTCGGAAAGAAATCCATGAAGTCACTTTCTACTTGACTATATTCTTCCTACAGTTAAGGAAAGATGGAGCAGAAAAGGTCAATTGAGTGTGTTCAGTGGAGAATTAATGCATGAACTTTTAGTAGAGAAGACATCAAATAGGAAAATAAGCTATCTGAGTACATGTAAATGGATATATGCCTATCGTGTCATTTGGTATGCAAATGTGTTTGCATTAAGCTGATGGAGAAGCTGCTATTTTCTTTGCAGTATTCAAAATGCACCTTTAAGAAGTAAAAGCTTTCTCTGAAGAAGAAAGACTTGTTATTTTATTTTAAATACAAAACACATTCAACTTGTGTCAACAGCTTACATTTTAAATAATGCAGCTCGTACTTGGATTCATTATCTGCAATTGGAGTTTGCAAAAAGCTTTTAGTGTTTTTCTCCCCAACTTTTAAAATTTATTCATTGTAACTGTTAACATTTAGAGAATAGTGGAAACCCTAAGTCAGATTGGATTGGAAAACTCAACAAAGAAATTTCCTTTCTGGAAGTTACCACTGAACCAGGTAGAGAACCCTCAGCTATTGTGCTGAACCACGTTCTGATGAAGTATTTATACCCTCTTCTTACTAGTATTAGGTCAGACTCAAAATGTTTTCCTTTTAACTCAGGCTCGTTAATAAGAAACGCGATGCTGGCAGCCTGCTCAGTATCCCTAGCTCAAAGGGCTTAGTTTGTGCAAATTACCTGTTTACACCAATCCTAAACCTCTAAATGAAGGGGCTTGGGTCTGAAAGATTTCTCCAGTACCCAGGGCTNGAAAGCAAAGGAGAGCGATTGGTTGTTTTCACCCTCTCATTGAATCATATAACTGGAACCAGGACCCAAATGGTATGTGATTTCGCTTCAGGCAGGGAATATAAACAGAGCCAAGCGTAGAAATGCAGGTGTGTGGCAGATTAACTGACCTCGCTGTTTGCCCAGCTGCAGAGTGACTCCCTTCTCATTCCCCAGCTGTCCAGCTGCTTCCTAATGCTATTTTATTTTTCTTTTAAACTGGAGGAGCCAACCAAACTTGCCCTGGACAGATTTAATAATTACTAAAAACAGACAACTTTGCAGTTATGCACAGCACAGAAAACACTTCGTAGTTTAGCTTTTACTTAGCTCTTGTTCAACAGTGATGCCTTTGGCAAAATCTGATAGCTTATATTTTTAAGGAACAATAACATGACATTTTATGAAAATACAGGAAAGTTCTTCATTAACCCCACATTTTGAAGTGTTTTTTTTATACTTATTGTTCTGTATAATATTCTGAAGCTCATTATAAATGATATGCTCCCTATTTCTGTGTCCTCCATAAGGGTGTGAGTACTAAATGCACATATTCCTCTTTTCAGCGGTGGCACTTAGCTCTTCAGTTATTACGGTTTTTTTAAATTAAAGGGTAGTTGATATACAATATTATACTGGCTTCAGGTGTACAACATGGTGGTTCAACAGTTATATACATTACTAAATGCTCACACCGTGATAAGTGTAATTACCATCTGTCATCATACAAAGTTACTGTGATATTATTGACTATATTCCCTGTGTGTTGTACTTTTCATCCCTGTGACTTATTTATTTTATAATTGGAAGTTTGTTTTTTTTATCCCCTTGAGCTGCTTCACTCACTGCCATGGCATCCACCAGTTTGTTCTCCGTATTTATGACTGTTTCTGTTTTGTTTATGTGTTGTTTTTAGATTCCACATATAAAATCATATGGTATTTGTCTTTCTCTGACTGATTTACTTCACTTAGCATAGTTGCCTCTGGTCCATCCACATTGTTGCAATTGGCAAGATTTCATTCTTTTTGTGGTTCAGTAATTTCCCATTGTGTATATGTACCATATCTTCATCCAGTCATCTATCCATGGACACTTAGGTTGTCTCCATATTTTGGCTACTGTAAATAATGCTGCAATAAATATAGGGGTACTAACTCCATGTTTTACTTTTCAAAATAGTCATCTTAAGAATGTGCAAGTCAAAAAAAAAAAGAATGTGCAATTCTTCTGAAAATTTATTGTAAGAAATATGACACACTTTTGTGCACAGACATTTCTGTAACAATAATATAACCGAAATGTTTAAGGATTTAAGATTTTTTTAATTTAAAGAAATTTCAAATTGAGAATTCTTTATGTAAGCTTACAATATACATGGAAAGGATCCAGTGAGTTAGGATATATATCAAAGGTTTTCAGCACAGCTTTATGCATAAGGCAAATAGTTGAAATATCCTAAAATGTTTAACAAAAGAGAATTAGTTATAGCACAGTCATATAAGGAAATAATATACAGCCCTTAAAATTATGTTTTAGAAGAACATTTGATGATACAGGAAGATGTTCTATTAAATGAAAAAAATGCAGGAAATTCAAATTTATGAGTACAGTATGATCCAAATTTTATAAAAGGAGAAATATGTGTAATTTTAAAATGAAGAGCGTGTGTGTGTGTGTGTGTGTGTGCGCGCATTTTCATAGGAAAAAGTATGCCAAATCGTAACAGTTACTGTCTCTTTTTATTTTTTTATTTTCCTTTTTGTAGCATATGTTTTCTACATTAAACAAAGTATTAACTTTTTGGTCAGGAAAACAATTTTTTTTAACTAAGCTATGTATGAATCATAATATTTACATTTTGTATTTTGACAAGTAGATTTTATAAAGTAAAATTCCTTTGGTAAGGCCATACTAATTTGGAGGTTTTTAAAAGAATTCCAAGGTTGGGCTAAAATTTATCCATGATTAATGGTTTATATTCTGCAAATTAATAATGCAAAGAAGATTTTAGAGAAACACTTTTAAGCTGAAGGGAGCTTTTCAAGTGCATTGAAAGCATGCATAAACTAAGTCATTTTTCATCAAAGCTTGTCCCCTAAGTACTTCTTCCTGGCAGGTGAATTTGCATATTTTTTTGTTTTCTTTATGTAGAAACAAGCAGTAGTCCGTAATTCATCTATTTTGCTAACAATCTGGCTCTCCCCCTGCCAGTTTGAAGGTGATATTTTTAACATACACATCATATAATGGTTTCCATTCACTCCCTAAATTGCAGACAGACATCTTTTAACAACTTGGGTCACATTTTCACAGGTCATGAAAACATACCATATGTATCATGCAGAGAGCATCAGTGCAGAGAGCAAGCTGAAAGAGGCTGAGAAGCAAGAAGAAAAGCAAATTGGAAGATCTGGTGATCCAGTCTTCCATATTAGACTAGAAGAGAGACATCAGCGGCGAAGCTCTGTAAAGAAAATTGAAAAAATGAAAGAAAAGGTAAGTAAAAATAAACTGCATAGCCTTTCTGTCCTCTTTGAAGTGACAATATGAAGAACACTGATGCAATAGCTGATGAACACACATTGTGAATCATTGTGAAAGGGCACGCATTTCTTTCCACCGGAATGAAAAATATTTAACATTAAAATCATGTAATAACAGCTGGACATCATTTAGTGTTGAGTGCCAAGTATTCAACACAATGCAGAGAATTTGAATATTAAGAGATTTCATTGCAAACAGGCCTGAAGCCCAAGTACATTGATTTTTACTCCCTATAGCTGGGTAATTTTCGTTTGTAAGTAATTTAAGTCAGATTCGAAATGTACTTTTTTCAAAGGACTTCCAAGGTCATTTGTATATGTAGAATGAATTGTTTAGATTAATAGAAATGTATATATGTTTCTTTGCCTTGTTTAAAAGTAACATTGTTGTCTTTCCCAATGCCTGGGTCTTCTTCATTTCCAGAGACAAGCAAAGTATTCAGAAAATAAGCTAAAATCAATTAAGGCACGGAATGAGTATCTGCTAACCCTTGAAGCAACCAATACCTCGGTTTTCAAGTATTACATTCATGATCTTTCAGATTTAATTGATGTAAGTACTTAAAGCTCTATTATTTTCCATATTCAGATGGAATTAACAATAAATGTTTCATTGATTCTAAAACACCATCATTTAATAAAACTATTATTTTATGTAATACTTTGAAAGGAAAATCCTGCTAATTAAACGATACAGAACACTAAGACACTATCAGCTGTATAATGCGTGTGACAAAAGCGTGCATCCTAAAACCAACAATAAACAAATTACTAGGTTCTGTGAGGTTGGGTGCCTAGTAAACTCAGCTAGAAAGGGGACCTAGTCATTTCCTAATTATGCAATGGCATAGCCTTTACTGTTTCACAGATTCAAAATACATTTATTGGTGAGGTGCTGTGGCTATGAGAAGACAAATACAGTTCCTGCCCTTTGGGATTTACAGCAGAAAAGACAGATGTTAAGCAAATGACTACACAAATGATGGGTTTATTACAGTTGTGATAAATACTGTGAAGCAAAATGAATGCATATAAGCCACTTTTATAAATGTATCTAGCTCTTGTAGGATATGATGGAGCAGTAGTGTGCTCCTTTAGAACTTGCCAAGTGTGTATCCACTATTGTATTTATCACTGATTACTGTCATTACTTCCCAGCTTTAACCCTCTGCATCATTCATCTTTCATTAGAAAATATGTCCTGAGTAGTGCAGTCATTGTGCTTGAAAGGGTATCTCGCCGCGACCCTTCTTACCCAGAAGGACTCAGGAGACACAGGCCCACGCAAGAGACTTTATTATCTGAAGGAGAGGCTGCTCCAGACAGGGGTGGGGAGAGAGAGGGGGGGAGCAGCAGAGAGAGCAGTGGGACAGAGAGAGCAGAGAGAGAGAGAGAGAGGGAGAGAGAGCAGGGAGAGAAGGGGGACAGAGACAAAGAGAGAGACAGAGAGAGAGGGGGCGGCAGCGTGGTGCCTTTTATTGTGGATCCGCTCGGCCTGCTGCTTTGGGGGAGGGTCGGGATGTTTAGAGATAAGGCCCAGTCAAGCTCCGGCATAATTCTTACCGGCTTCTGTGCTTGGGACCATGGGACAAAAGGAGGATAAATGACTATATTCTTACATTCCTCCCTTTTCTGTTTTATAAGTGGTAGAGGATTTGGGAAGGGGTGAAGGTTAGTCTTCAGGAGCTGCTTCCTACTGATTAGGGGTAATGAAGTTCATTTTTGTATTGATGGGGAGTGGTCCTCAGATGAGCTCTTGGTCTGCAGTGGCGATGGCGTGTTCCAGGTTCAATAAGGATGATCGTCTTTGAAGAGGGGTTGGTAATCCTGTAATATAAGCTGGTTAAAGGTTTGGTTAGAAATTTTTTGCATTTGGGCTGATTGCTATGTTTACATAGGGTGGCTGAATTAATAGCATTTTGGGGGGACATATGTGTAGGCAGAAAAGCAACCTGTAGGGCAAAGGGAATCCTTGATGGTGCAATCCTTTGGACAGTCTGAAAGAGAAGAAAGGGCTGGCATTGGGAAGATAGGTCTGGTGAGAGAGTAAGTGTTGAGACCAGGGTTAATAAACCTGAAGCATGACACATGGCTGTTGTAAGGGAGGTCTTAGGACTCCATGCTGGCAGAAGCTTCAGTGATGAGTGGAAGCAGAGATGAGCAGCGCGAAATGCAGAGAGTAAGAGGTCCCATCAGGGTGGAGGAGTAGGAACCTGTGGGAGATTTGGTGGGAGGGGAATAAGGGGAGACAAACGGCTTAAGGTGGGAGTTATGTATCTAGTGGGGAAGATCCTGGAGTTCAACTGCAGTTGGCATGGAAAGGATTACTGTGTATGGTCCTTGCCATTTGGGAGTGAGGGATGATGTCTTTGTTGTTTGGAATGGGCATGGTTTGGGGAACTTTTTTCCTGTTTATGGTAATGGCCTTGTAGCGCGGGGAGAGCTGAACTCCCAGGTATGTGACCTGAGCGGCAGACAGCTGAACTTTGGAGGGTGAAACTCAATAGCTCTGTTCTGAGAGAAAGTTGAAAAGGAGAACAGTATCCTGTTGAGAGGTTTGTACGGAGGGACTGCAAAGGAGAAGATCATCTACATGTTGAAGGAGGTTGGAGCTCGAGAGAGTAAGGGATTTGAGGTCTTGTGCTAGAGGCTGTCCAAAAAGGTGGGGACTATCCCTAAAGCCTTGGGGAAGAACTTGTTAAGTGTTCTCTGAATATTAAAAATTAACTTAACATAAGGAATTTCCTGCCTTGATTTTTCTCTGGGATACCAGCTTCTTGGTCTGGGAGCATATCAAAAGGCTGCCTGCTCAGCTCCCAAGGTGGGCTGAGGTATTGTCTATTTGCTAAAGAATCCTGCCTTTTACTATGCCGTCTACAGCTGGGTCAGCATGCTAAGTTAGTTACTCAGTTTGCAAAATTATCTCCTCAGATCTGAAGGAGGAAAGACAGCACATAGGCCTGGGCCTTTTAGTATGCTAAAGTGAACCTTACACATGGTTACAAATGATTAGCATAATAAAACATGTGCTACTCTTCCTTATCTGGGAAACATTAACTGATCTCACTGAAGAATGATTCTAGAGCTTAATGTTCAACATAGTTTTAGTAGGGGGGGCGGGTTCCTAGCATGTAGTTTTACATTGCTCTGACTGCAAATATCCTGCCTTGCTTTTTCTAGAGGCTCTCACCTTATTCTGTCTAAGCCTATGATCCCTGTCTCATTTTCCCCTCTACAGATAAGACTCTAGCTGCTGCTAGGGAAAAGGGGTGACGACCACTCTGGCTGCTTCATGCTGAGAGGGGGCGCAGTAAAGGGTGCAGCTAGGTCTCCATCACTGGTCAGTTGAGAGGGCCCCAGAAGGTTGGCACTTCTATTCCGGGTTTCATTTCTATTATTATTTGCAGTTTTGTGGCTTTTAGGCAAGATAGAACAAATTGTTATTAGGTTAAGTAGCAACATCTGGAGTTGGATTTTCCATTCTGGAAGGACAAACTTGACGAGATTAAGAATGCATGGCTGAATATGAGAACTAGAAATATGAAGTCTAATTGAGAATCATAGCCAGGTGTCATGGGGAAATTAGAATGTTGAATCGAGTTTACATCTCAATGACTAGTATTAGGATTTAGTACAGATAAGACAGCATTATTGAAACAATACTTTTCTCTAAAATCACCCTCATTTTTATTAGAAGTATCCAGATTAAGAAAATAATTAACAGTTGGCTTGATTATTTGCATAAGTGCAGCAAGAAGAGTAATTGATTACACGGGATCTTTTAAATGTGCTTTGCTGGAACTTTTTGCAAGGAATTTCAGATTGAACTTTTAAGGGCTTCTTGAGGCCAGAAAGCCAAGCCAGACTTGCCACCAGCTTGTGCCTGCAGTACCTGTAGATTTGGATGAATTCCTCTCTTCCTGAGGTTCCTGCACCTGCCAGGAAGTGACCTTCCTTACTTACCTGGTAAGGCTGCTGGGAACTCTGTAAGCAAGGTACCAGGCCAGTTCTTCTAAGGGGCTTTGTTGGCTTTATAAAGTCAATCTTAGTTCCTTAAAGCTGTCTGTTCATATCTGAGTTTACACACGTGTCTCTCAGGTATGACATTCTACTCAAAGCCTTGGTAATATAACCAGTGTTTTTAATTAGTCCTCTTACAAGGAAAGCAGATTCTTATTGAACTTATGCAAATAAACATACTGCCATGAAATATAAAAATAGTCACTGAGAGTTTTTAAATTCTGGAGGGATCAGGTAGAGAGAAAGATAAAGTTTCAATTCTGCTTATAAAGGCAGTCATTTACTAAACTGTTGTCAGCTTAAGAGAAAAAGCTTGAAACACTTTATCAACAACATTTGAAACGAAAAGCCACAAAATTATCTTCCTTAGTTTCCTTAATCCTATGTAACTAATACCTGTTCTGCTGTAATCTAGTTTTTTACTAGTTGAGGAGTAATAAAACAGTGAGTATAGATGACAAAAGACTTACAAATGACAATGGTTAAAGATCTGATGAGGGCTTACTGTGACAGTTGTCATAAGGAAATTTGGATATTTCTGTAACACAAAACATTCAGTAACAAATTTTAGCATCATTCCCTGTGACGTTGCCTTCTAGGTAATTAAGCAGGTAAATAAGCCAAATTAGCCAAATTATTTTCTCCAATGAGAAAAAATTCCTCTGACATGTTCCAGGGGCCCTCTGGAAAATATCAAGAGTTAACTAGAGGTAAAAGCACCTTTTTGCATTTGATTTTGGGAAGCTGTTAAAAGTTTTAAGGCACTTGCTTAAATAGTTACTCACATTAGACAAAGCTACACTTCACTTTAAGCATTTTTCTTTGGAAGATTTAACAGATGCCATCAACTTAAATGACTTTAGGTAAACTTAGGCAGCTGATAACCATATGGACATGTCTATTCAGTTCAACTTAAAGTAGCATTAATGCTTAATATCTTCTATTAGAATTTTCTGGAAATTTTAGAATGCCCAATTTTTACAAGCACTTGTCTTTAAATCAATCTTTATTAATACCATCCGGAGGTGGAAAAATATTTTTCATTTACACACTTAGACACAAACATACAGATTGAGACGTAATGATACAGTGAGAGGACAGACAGAGCTCCTGGCATGAGCCAGGAGGGGACAAGAGAGCCCGTGGTGGTGCATTGTCTAGGAGTTTTATAGGCAGTTGAGGATATTTGGGAATGTGGAAAAAGCTTAGGGGTGTGGACTCTAAGGCAAGTAGTAGGTGTTTAGGATTGCAGGGGAGACAGAGAGAGAGCTTGGTTTGGAGGTAGGAGAAAGCCTGGATATATGGGATCTCTTTCATTTGCCCATGCACTCACAGAAGTTGTATAAGTCGCGGAGAATTTTAGGATCTAAAGAGCCACTGGGGAACCATTTAGACTGATTGTCCAAGGGATATTGTGGCCAGATCTCATTACAGTAGCGAACAGGTTTGAGGTCTGGAGTGAGGTGGGGGGGATTTACATTATTGAGTAAGCACCCTAGCAGTGAATCTGCGGGACAGAGGGGCCAGATCCCA